GTATTTGTTTGGGTGGTGGGGGGGGGGGCTTATTATTTAGTAACAGTTGCTGAGACTGAATATCCAATAGCGCTACAAATGCTATCTTTTATAATAATATTCAGTGTTTGTCTGTCCTGATCTCATTTATTTCAATTGTTTGTTGGTTCGTAGTTAAGCACAAAGTTACACAAAGGGCTATCTGTCCTCTGCTCACCACGGGTATTTAAACCCGGTTTCTAGTGTTGTAAATCAGCAGACATACCGCTGTGCCACTGGAAGGCGACAAAATAGAAATACAAAGCTTTAATTCTGAACGGTGCCGAATGTGCAGGTGGGGCTAAATCGCAAGATCAGATTTAGCTGCCCTTAGAGTTTAAATACTGACAAATGTGAATGCAGCCAACCAGAACTCGCTGCCCTAAGGGCTTTGTCCATTTCTTTGAACCTAATAAAGTGATTGACTTGCACTTTTATAACGCGCCCACATCTTCCGATCCGCAACCCAACGCGCCCTCAGTTTGGAAGAAAAAAGATCTCAAAGTTAAAATTAAAGTTAAAGGAGTTCTGATGTATCTGGAGAAGAAGGACTTGAAGAATACTGGAATTTCGGAGAAACAAAAAAATTCAGTTTATACTCCAAAAGAAATGTTTTGAATAAAACTTTCTCTTGAAAGGGAACGAAAAACTGTTACTACGTAAAGAAAATATTTATTTAGCATTTACAAATAATTAAAAACGAAATGCGACTATAGTTTTCATTGGGAAAAAAAAAATAATCCTTTCTCTTTCGTCCTGTCCCCTAGGGGGACAGCGATAAGTTTACGGATTTTAAAAGCTAAAATCCTGAGTTCGATTCCACATAGTGGACACAGCAGATAACTCAATGTGGTTTTGCTCTGTTAGACTTGGCCGTAATTCTTATAGCGCATCTACAGCCCAAAGTGCGGAGCGTGTTTTGGAGCCAACAGATTCACAGTCTTGGCTCTCTAGCCACTAAGCCACGCGTGGCCAATATGTAGTATATCATAAAATAAATTCATATCTGTAGGCCGCCATTACTAACTAGTTAGTGGGAACTTTTTTGTAGATCCCTTAGCGACATTAGTCATATTTATAAAGATCACAAAGATATTCATAAGTGCACATGTGTTTGCAAAATTCGGATTTTTTTTTTCCAATTAGTTTGGTAGGTGATTGGACAGCTTAAACACTTTGTCGTCCTCCCTCCCCCTCCCCATTTAAATGTCAGTTTCTCATAAAATAATAATAATAAAGTGTGAGAGAGAAGCAAAAGTTTCTGACCACCCCGGATTGTCATTTAGGTCCTAGAATCTTTTTTTAAGTCTTGAAAGATTTTTAAACCTAAACACCTGCCACAAATTTGATTTTGATTTGAAAATGAATATGCTTGAAACAGCTAGGGGACATCTCAAGACATTTCCCATAATTCCTTTAATGAACAATACTTTTTGGACCCGTTAATGTCACATTCCCTTTTGCCCCGATAGTGGAAGTTTCGATCTCTTAGTTCCTCCACCTGCGCAGACCTGTCCTTTTTCTACTATTCTCAGCTTATGTTGATACTACAGCGCAGACACTCATATTCAGACCGCGCGGGCACCTTGGCAAGAACAGGTGATCACGCGGAACTTCTTGGTCACGTGAAAACCTTGTGAAAACTATGAATTTAGTCAGTGCTTACGGTATATATATATATATATCATGGTGCAGGTTAAAAATCAAAATATATTCGAAGGTATTAGTAATACGCTGCTCTCTACGCAAGTTTTACTTGACTTATTCGATACACTAAGAATAAAAATAAAATGTTATAACACTTATGTGATTGGTCATTGTAATTCTCCCCATACTTAGTTCGTGTTGGTCCCACAAACACAGAAAAAAGGTTGCTTGGATAGAAAATGATCATTTTGCATGTGCTTTATTCATATTTTTCTAGTAGATGCTGGAGTTTTTTTTCTTTATTCGTGTCTTACATTCTGTATCTGTTTCAATGAGATACAACTTTAATTAAATATGTAATATATATATATATATATATACACATTCTACAT